CTGCCTCTGCCTCTGCCTCTGCCTCTGCCTCTGCCTCTGCCTCTGCCTCTGCCTCTGCCTCTGCCTCTGCCTCTGCCTCTGCCTCTGCCTCCCCCGAGAGCTGGGATTACAGGCGTGCACCACCACGCCAGGCTTCCAAGTTGCTTTCAGTCATATTTTTTTATCAAAATAGAAAGCAAACTAGAACATAAATCATTCATAATTTTAAAAAATAAATGAATTCCTAATGGCCAGCCCCAGAACCAGGACTAGCCTGGAACTGGAATGTCTCAAAGGCCCACACCTCTGGGTACCCTGGACTCCTAGAGCCTCAGCCATGCAGCAGCCTCAGGGTCAAAACGACAGCCAGGGAAGGCACTCCTCTGTGGTGAGTCCTGCCCCGCACAAGCCATCTCACCTCTCTCCACAGCCTCCAGAAAAGGAGGGCGCCCTGCCCCGGCAGGTAGGCAACAAGACAGAGTGCGGCCTGCTGGGCTTTGTGCTGGACTTGAGGCAGGACTACGAGCCGGTGCGCAGCCAGATGCCAGAGGAGAAGCTGTATAAGGTGTACACCTTCAACTCCGTGCGCAAGTCCATGAGCACGGTCATCAAGATGCCGGACGAGAGCTTCCGCATGTACAGCAAGGGCGCCTCGGAGATCGTGCTCAAAAAGTAAGCTGATTGGCACAGCCGTGCGAGTCTGGGTCACACATCACCATCCCCACACACGCTGGACCTAATCAGGTCACTCTCCCCCTGCACCTCAGTTTCCCCATTTGTGCATTAGTCAAGCCCAGAGACTTTCAACCCTGGCTTGTAGTATGTTAGTCACCTCGGTGAAAAGAAAAGGAAGTTGGGCATGGTGGCTCACGCCTTGCATCCCAGCGCTCAGGAAGCAGAGACAGGAGGATCTCTGAGTTAGAAGACAGCCTGGTCTACCTTGAGCCCCCCTCTCAAAGAGAAAGCAAGGACAGAAGAAAGGAAAGACAGACAGACCATTGATCCCTGTCTTATCCCAGACAACTCAGATTGGAACTGCAAAGGCTGGCTTACACCTTTGCTTTATTAGATGCTCCCCAGACCAACCTGCAACCCAAGCCAGGCAGAAAAGCACCAGCCTGGGTTTAGGGGCTTCCAAAGCATCTCATCTGTGGTAATGATTTTTCTCCCCAAGTGGAACCTCCTAAACCCTGCATGCAGCAGGCAGCTGAGGGTTCTGAGGCAAATATTGCAAAAAGGCCACCTGGTTGCACCCCTGCCTGTCACCCCTCCCCCCCCCAGCCTGCTGCATGCACTGAGGCATCATGGGAGGCGGGTCAGATGGGCATTCAGTAGCCAAGGTAGGTGGGCCTCATTCATCTCCTTCTCCCCCCCACCCCTGCTGCCAGGTGCTGCAAGATCCTCAGTGGGACCGGGGAACCCCGGGTCTTCCGGCCCCGTGACAGGGATGAGATGGTTAAGAAGGTGATCGAACCCATGGCCTGTGACGGGCTCCGTACCATCTGTGTGGCCTACCGTGACTTCCCCAGCAGCCCCGAGCCTGACTGGGACAACGAGAATGACATTCTCAATGAACTCACGTGCATCTGCGTGGTGGGCATCGAGGACCCAGTGCGACCTGAGGTAGGCCCTGATGCCAATGATCTCAGAACAGGGGGCAGGGCTAGAGCCTGGCCCGTGAGTAACTTGAACCCTGAGCTTCAGGTCCCCATGCAACAGGATCAGGATCCATCTGCCCTCAAACATTTCCACTCTAAAACAGGCGTAGCCATATTTAGTAACCACCTACTCAGAAGGCCCTGGGAAGACGGAAAGACCACCACCCCACCTCCACCAGCCAGGGTGCTGCTCTGAGTGAGAACAACACTCATAGGGTTCCCTCCGGTCTGCCTAGGGATTGGTATGTGGCTTGCCTAGCTCCAGAAGCCCCTCCCCCACGGGATGTAGCTATTGTCCCCATCTGGATCCCAGGCCTCTATTACAGCTGGGTTCACAGGGTATCCTCCCAGGGGAACCCAGATCACGGCGTTCTGTCGATGTCATGGTCTCTGTCTGCCCAGGAGTGAACTGGGCAGTGAGATCCCCTGGCCATCCTCCTAAGCCTTCAGCAGGCCTCTGGGAGACAGGACTCCGAGTTAATGGCAGGTCACAGTCCCAGCCGAAGGGGCGGGTGATGTCATCCATGCTATGAAGATAAAAGTGAAGTGCCAGGGGGACAGTCCAGCTCCAGGCCTGTCATGGTCACAGAAGAAGGGCTGTGTGGTCCATATCTGCCAATGCAGGATTAGGCTTCATGGAAATATGTTAGTGCCATGGGCCAGCCGAGCATTCACCTTACCCAGGGTGCCAAGAGAGCACAGGGCTTGAGGCATGGGTAGGAGCTGGCTCCTTTTCCCCTCAGGCTCCAGGGGATCCGTGTAGGCCATGGCTGTGAGATCTGGTGTTCATACCCAGTCGGGAACACCTTCCTCTAACAATGGTGGATCCAGTATCCTGCCCTGCCCCCATAGTGTTCTCTTTGCGCCCACTCCCTGCTCAGAGCTCCAGTGGTCCCTTTTTAAAGGTGGAGATAGGTGGAGAGCTGTCTTCCAGGCTCCTGCTTAGTGCTGTAGGACTGTCTTCCAAAGAACAAGTGGAACCAGGTCACAGACCTGAATTTTTACATCCGGGCCTCTATGAGAGGCATCAGAGTGCAAGCTCGGGCATCAGACAGACCTGGATCCCCATGTGCTAGAATTGCTGGACTGTGTGACACTGAGCCTATTATACAACCTCTCTGAGCCATATTGGTAGCTCAGGCATAACAATATCCTCCTCCATGCCCACACACGCCTATGAAGTAGTGTAAGGGAGCAGACTCTGAGCACCAAGACCAGCATATAGGTCAGCAGCCCCAAAAATGAGGCTACCTGATGGACTCCCTAGCTGAGTCATTTCTCAGAGTCCTATACAGGCAACAGTCTGGCCATCAGAATATGCAGGGGCTTGTGGAATGGATAAATGGATAGATGGATGAATGAATGAATGAATGAATGAATGAATGAATGAATGAATGAATGGGAATGAATTTGATCCCAACTCTTCAGCACTGTTCTTGCTACTCATTTCTGTCTGTCTCTCTCTGTCTCTGTCTCTCTCTCTCACACACACACAGAGGGGGAGAGAGAGAGAGACAGAGACAGAGAGAAAGCAGAAATTTGCCCCTTTATTATGCATTCATAGCCTCTCTTCCTGTCTCCCTGTTGGGGATCTGTCTAACCCTCATCCCTGAAGATGGTTTTCAGTCCCCTAGGACAGCTGCTTATCACCAGCAGTTGGTGGGCTCATGCCTCCCAGAGATGGCTTACCTATTTACACCTTACCGGAAATCACTAGGCAAAGGTTTATCCTGGTGTGTGTCTGACCCCCACCAGCCTTGGAAGCATCTTTACAGAGGACGACAAGCCAGCATGAAGTGCTAAGGCTTTTGTCTGTGACCCACCCTTGAGAGTCAGTAACACACTTAACCAACTAAGCATTCCATGAAGTCAAAAACACCAGAAGTGTCTTCTGCCCTCTTCTGTTTTGAATGCTGGTCATTGGCTTCATAACTACTGCAGTGAGTGGAGGTTTGAACCTTGGTCCCTCTCAAGCCCTTTCCTGCTCATCAGTTTATAGATGAGCACACTGGGCTAGACAGATCCAGAGTAGACCTGGTGTTCTGGGCCTTGACCATAGGCAGGAGCAGGAAGGAAAAGCCTACAGAAAGCTCCATGCCCAGGACTTTGGAGCAGGGCTTAGCCCCTGGCACTTTTTGATGACAACATTGTCATCTGGAGTTCTTGCTTCTGGCAAGGAGCAACTGGACACAAGTCCAAGCTTCGTCCCCAACAAGCCACCTGCTCGCCTGGGACCTTTATCTTCTATCTTTAGAATGGGTGTCGACTCGAAGAGGGGAGGGGGTCTTTTATTCCAAGCTCTGACATCTTCAGACAGATCCGGAGGTAGCTTCTAGAAGCCTCACACCCACAGCCACCAGGCCTTCCACCAGTCCATCAATCCTGCCCCTCACCGGGTGCTTCAGTCACCCAGCCTGCTTCCCCGTCTCACCCACGGCCCATTGGGATGTGTATTCAGAAATGCAAGCCAGCAAGACAGCTTGATTCGGTGGGTAAATGTTTCCCGTGCAAGCCATCAACCTAAGTTTACTTCCTAGAACTCTGGTAGAGGTAGAAAGAGAGAGCCAACTCTACAAAGCTGCCCTCTGACTGCCACACCTCCACCGTGGCATGTGACAATCAGATGCACACACAATAACGATTCATCTTAATTTCTAAAGAATTGAAAGCTCCGGTGGGAGCTGTGGCCTCCCCAGGTGACAGCCTAGGGTTGGGACACCAGCTTTAACACGGCCCTCTGATATTCACTCGGGCCTGATGTGTTAGTTCCTTTTCTCAACAGTGAAACAAAACACCTCATCAAAGCAGCTTAAAGGAGGAAGGGTTCGTTTGAGGTCCTGTTCTGGTTACCTGTCTGGGAATGAGAAGGTGGGACCATGTGAATCTCAAAGTCTAACCAGCAGAGCTGTGGGGTGGGGTGGGGTGGGGTGGGGTTCTTCCTCCGACAAGAGCCTCATTCCAACAAGGCTCCAGTTCCCATAGTACAGTGAAGCTCGCCACCACACCCAGGCCCCAGTTCTGACCTCACAGTGAGCCCCCACCACACCCAGGTCCCAGTTCCCACCTCCCAGGCAGCGGCAGCCCCTGTCACCAATTTTGGGGGTGACTTTTCCCGCAGTGTCCCCACCTGTGTCAGGTGTCAGCTTTCTCAGCCCTGTCCTTTGTCCCTTTGCCCAGCATATGGTTCCAGGAGTCACGTAATTAGCACCCTGTGCTAGGCTCCAGCGTGGCGAGGCCCAGGCAGAGGGGCTCTGCCCTACACTTTCCAAGGTTCACTCTTCAGCTGTAGGTGAATACTCTTCACCTGCCTCAGTTTCCCCCTTGCCACATTGTCTTCCTCCCTCAGGCCCACTCCAGTCCAAAGCAGCATCAAACCACCACAGTCCCTCCTCCAGGCAATCCCAAAGCTGAGAGAAGCTAGTATGGAGGAAGCTGTCAGGAGAGCATCGTTCTGGGACACGCTGGGGGTTTACCCCGGGGGTGTTCAGAGCCCTTGGAGTCAACAGACACCGGCTGTCACCAGAAACAGCAGATGTTTAAAAACCCTTTATGTAATGGCAACAGGAAGCACCCGTTTCCTGCTTTTCCTCGGTGAGAATATCTAGGATAATTTTAGCAGAGGAAGCCGCTTTTTAAAATAGTTAACACTGGTTTTATTTATATGGAAAGCATATTTCAACCAGGCCCATGCCCCTGAGATTTGAGTCTTAATCATCTCGGTGCCCAGCGATTAGAACAATTGAATATACCATTGCTGGCTGTTGAGTGCATGAGTGAATGATCAAAGAAAATACTCAAAAAAGTTTAATGAGGTTTCCCTCTGGGTTGGAGGTGTCTTAGGTGCTTCATGAGTAGAGAGCATTGAGTGTAGGCAAGTAGGAGCTGGCATATAAGGACTGAGGGAAAGGGTGCCCCAGGCAGCAGGGACAGAGAGGGCAAAGAAAGAAAAGGAAGTGGAAAAACATAGCTTTTTGTTTCGGTAACAAAATACTTTTCATTACTGTAACAAGCAGAGATAATCTGCTTATGCAAAGGGAAGGTCTGGCTGGGCTCACAGTTTCAGAGGTGTCAGTTCATAGTCAGTGGGCCCACTACTTTGAGGCCTGTGGCAAGGCAGCGCTTGCTGATAGGAGCACACAGCAGAGCCATATAGTCTGTGTCAGAGCTGAGAGGCAAGAGACAGAAGAAACTGGGGTCCCAGAGTCCCCTCCTAAGACACATCACATACAACCCACCCCTTAAAGGTCCCAGCAGTTCCTGACAGCGCCACCCTAGGGACCTAACTTCAATATACAAGCCCTTAGGGAACGTTCTTGATCTGAACTATGCTGCATATCTGGCCTTGTGAGAACTATTGCATTTAGGAGAGGAAAGCCTAGACAGCCTAGACAGGGGCTTGGAGCCTTGTTCTCCCAGAACTGTTGTTGTTCTCTCTCTCCTCTCTCTCTTTCTCTTGCAATGCCTAGAGGATGGTCAGCCTTGTCCTGTGAGGCAGTCTAAACTGTTAAGCTGTAAGACCTGGGGTCTCACAGCTCAGGAGTTTAAGATCGCGCCCTTCCCAGAAATTTCCCCAGATCAAGACGTGTTGCAAAAGCAAGAGGTTTATTAACCATTGCGCAATGGGGTCACCCCTGCCGGTCAGCAAAGAGTGGCACCGGGAGACAAAGGCCTTTAGGTTTTTAAAAGAAAAATTGCGGGAGATTTGAAGTTGCAGTTTTGGCAATTTAGGATTGGATGAGGAAGCTATAAAGTAAGATAATTGGTTAGTCTTAGGTGCTCAAGCTTGGCCAGTTCTGCCAAGTGTGGATGCAGCTGCAATTGAAGGTGGGGGTGGTTAGCTTATTCTTGAAGATTAGGGGCTATAGACTTTTGGCTGGAGGTCAAAAGCTACTTAGAAGAAGTTTAGGTTTGTTGCTAAGAAATGCTATTTTAAAGACAGGAGTTTTTCTTTTTGCTGAGTGAAGGTCATTGCTTGCTTGCCCCTTTTTTTTATCTGTCCTCATAGATAGGGTCACATTTTTCCATTCTCTGGAAAGGTACTAAGAGGCTTTAGCTTAACCTGAACCTAAAATTTAAAACTATAGGCTTTAGAAGACATACAGATTACAAAGTTAGTCTAACCCTTTCATTGCGAGTTCTGGGCCTGACTTGGTGGCACACACCTTTAATCCCAGCACTCAAGAGGCAGAGGCAGAAGAATCTCTGTGAGTTCGGGGCTAGCCTGGTCTACATAGAAAGTTCCAGGCCAGCCAGGGCTACACAGTGAAACTTAGTCTAAAGCAAAACAAACAAGGCATGAGTCCTGAGCTACACTATAAACCACTTCGTCCCCAGTGCAGGGCTTTCCACAGGAGCAAGCCCCGCACACGCGCTCGCACCCCACTACTCATGCGCTCACTATGTGTGACTTCAGTGTGACTTCAGGTACCCCAGAAGCTTCACAGCCACCAACCCACATCCCACACCTTCCCCCAGCTTCAGCACCCCTCCTGCTGGCCTAAGCACAACCCCAATGCCCTCACATCTAGAGCTTTCCCTGTCCGAATCTAGATCAGTGATGTGGACACGTCGGCTCTCTGTGCTATGTGCATGGCTTGAGCTCCTGCATGCTCCCTCCCACCAGAGCCTTAGTTGCTTTTGACAGAATAGAACTGGCTCAAATACCCCTTCTTCCAAGAAGCTCTCCATGGTTTCTCCTCCACACACCGTCCCCTGTGCTTTCTAGAGCCCCTAGTCTCAGCCTGCACGAAAGACTATGTCTCCTAAAGACCCCATCTCTGTAGGGGTACGACAGAGTAGCACTCCATCTGGGAAAAATAAAGGTTCTTTGAAAGAACAAGCTAGACTAGCGTCACTGTGGAGCAGTAGGCCTAGGGGGGCAGGGGAACACCCCATCACCACGGGTGTGTAAGCAAAGACGGGGCCACCCGCCCTCTGGGGATGTCTGGGGCAGATCTAGGAGGTGAGCAGGGGAATGGAATCATATGATGCAAAGCCCCTTCCCACTCTGAACCTTCTAAGCACTTGAATCCCTTTTTAGGGACCAAAGCCAGACAAGGTGCAGGTTTCTAGAACAGCAGCTCTGGGGCTGAAGGCAACTGTCTACACACACACTCACACACACACACACACACACACACACACACACACACTCACATCATTCTCATGCATACACACAAGCACACGTATCACACACACATACACACATGCATATAGTCACATACATATGGTCACACAGCGTCACACACATATATCATATACAGACATACATACACACACAGAGTCACACACACATACATACATCACGCGTGCATAAATAATACACACATGTGCATACACACATACGTATGGTCACACACACAAAGTCACATACGCACACCCTGAGCCCTGAGGGTGTACAAATTATATAACCCGGATCTTGTGCCTGGGAGTGGAGAGTCCAGTGGGGCAGATCCAGAAAGGGCACTTCAGGCCACACTTTCTTCCTTAGAGTTCCTGAGCTGGGAAGGGACCGAGGGCAATAACTGACCAGGTAGGACTTCTTTGTCAGCCTGCTAGCCCTGCCCAAGCAAAACGCTCACATTCCCTGACTTAGGACAAGTGCATTTCAGATCTTCTGACTTCATGAAGGCACAAAGAGCAAAACACGCCCTTGAGAGCCATGCCTGGAGACCAGCTTTGAGTGTAATATGGGCTAGAGATATCAGACACGGCGCACTGTTGACACAGAGCAGGGCAGCACCCGCTTGACCCCAAAACCATGAGGGGAAGGGAGAGTCTCCTCCAGGCCTGCCTCATAGCCTGTAGGGAGTTGCTAGCTCCAGAAGGTTCTTTCCTCGTCACTATGACAAAGCATCTGACAGAAGCAACTTAAGAGAGAAGGGTTTGTCGGGGCTGGCTGTTTCAGAGAGGTCATAGTTAGACATGGTAGGGAAAGCCTGGCAGCAAGAGTGTGTGACAGGGACCAGAGAATGGGTCTAAACTCAGGGCCAGGCCGGAGCCCTCAACAACCTTCCCCTGGCAACCAGCTCCACCTCCTGAAGATTCACAACCTCCCAGCACAGCCCCACCAGCCAGAGACCAGGCGCTCAAGCATAAGAGCCTGGGGGCAGTTTGCATTCAGACCAGGACCTTGGTGTTCAGTGCCATCCCCTGGTTGTAGGCACTTACCCAGCATCCCCTGACTTCATGTGGGGAGCTGAGGAGCTCCCTTTCATGTGTACTCATCTCCTCCTCCGTGAGGATGCCAGCTATGACCTTATCTCACCTTGACTACCCCAAAGGTACTTTCTGCCAGTAAAGGTCTTGTCACCGATAGAACAGCTCGGAGGATCCTAGAGCCTTTCCAGTGGCTCATGCACTCACTATGTGCATGACAGGACAGGGATGGGAGTGAGCGCTCAGGTCCACTGTGTGCAAGGGGAGCTGGGTATTGGGCTTGCCTGTTAGGCCCAATAATCCAGCATGCTCTGGGTCTCACAAAGACACTTTGCAGCAGGTGTCCCTAACTATGCCTCTGTCTGTCACTGCTTCGGGTCACCTCTTGTTGTGGATGAACACTGGCATTGGCTCTCAGCCACGTCCTGCATCCTAACCACTCTGAGACAGAGGGTGGGAGAGATGGGGGGTGGGGGCAGTGGGACTGCTGAGAGGGGTGGGTCTTATCACCTTCTGATTGGCTGACCAGATTGTCCCAGGCATCAGTGTCATTTCAGTCAGCAAAAGCCCAGTGTTTTGTCCCACTCTGTCCCATTTGACATAAAGAAGCACCATTCTAAATCAGTGTAAATAAAGTAACCTCAGACGCACATGACTCTTCCCCCTAACTCTCCCTGCAATTCTTGCCTGAGGCCAGACATGGGGGTTCTATTTTTAGGGTCTTTCCAGTGCCTTTTGTCCAGGTCAGAAACCATGGGCGTCATCTCAGGAAAAACCACCATGGTCAGTAGGTAGTGGCTGCCGGGGACTCTGAGGACTGAGAATCCGGAGACCCTATCAGATTTAACCAGAGGATGTTGTGAACAATTGGTAATGCCTGATGCAGGCATAAAAGGGAGGCCACAGACACCATCATTCTCTCCTGGTTAGTCCCCTAAGGAGGTTTTTCTGGGAGAAGGATTAGCCCAGGACTTCTTGAAGACAAGGAGGGCCTACCCAAGAGGTGCGCTCCTGCATGGCTCTTACCCTCTCCCACAGGTCCCAGAAGCCATCCGCAAGTGCCAGCGGGCGGGCATCACAGTCCGCATGGTCACCGGTGACAATATCAACACAGCCCGGGCCATTGCCATCAAGTGTGGCATTATCCATCCTGGAGAGGACTTCCTGTGCCTGGAGGGCAAAGAATTCAACCGGAGGATCCGTAACGAGAAGGGGGAGGTATGCGCAGCCAACTCAAAGGCCCACAGCGGTGGGCCAAGCTCGACAGGGGGCCGGGAGGCATGGGCTCTGCATGCTTGAACAGGAGCCAGGTGGTGCGCCCTGAAGAGCCCAGTGACTCTGCATGGGGCTCTGTTTCTCTCTGTGACCCCACCGACATACCACACCCCCCCCCTCCAGATTGAGCAGGAGCGGATTGACAAGATCTGGCCAAAGCTGAGGGTGCTGGCTCGCTCCTCGCCCACGGATAAGCACACACTGGTCAAAGGTAAGACTGGGGTGACCATGGCAATTCTGAGCCCAGAACCAACCCAGCGTAAGCCACGCCCAATTTGCATGGCGTTGCAGTTTTCCCAAAGAGGGGGAAAGGGTACCCCAGGATTCTCCACACGTGGGGACCTTCTGACTTGTTCCTTTTCAGTCTTGGGAGGCCTGCAGGGGCCTCCTGGAGGAAGGGGACATGGGGACACTGAGATTCTCTTCTGATTCTTCAACTTCCTTGAGGTAGAAGTGGGCCTGGGCCTAGACTCTCAGACTACCTGGCAGAAGGGCCAGCTGGGATAGAGGTGTTATAGTCCAGGTGCATAAAGTCTTTGTTATGCACACCTTCAGGAACCTTCCAACAGGCCCAGCACTTTCATGGCTTGGCATTTTTGTGATCTGAAAGGCAGATCCATTTTCTTTCTCAGTTGAGCCAAGAGTTCATAAGGTTGAGACCCTTAGCACACTTCCAACCAACCCCTGTGAACAGACCCAGATGATGAGAAGTCCTGGAAATTGCAGAAGGCTAGAACCTTCTTCCCTCATCCTGCCACAAGAGGGTCACACTCAGAAAGCCTCAGCCCCTGCAGTCACAGCCCTGGCTCAAATCCTGGTACTTGTACTGTGCTCTCTGAGGCCTTGGCAAGTCCGTTCACTCTGGGTCTCAGTTTCCCCATCTATAAAATGTCTAGAAGGTGGAGTTCTTACTTCTGTCTGGGATCACTCCTAGGCACCTTAGAGTCATGTGACAAAGTCGGAGACAGATGGGGCCTATGGATAAAGCAGGTCCAGGACTGCAGACACTACATCAGAGAGCCCTTGCTCACCCTCAAACTTCACTTACTCTCAGTCACTCCCTGACTCTGTCACTGAGCAGTTATGGAGGACCTACTGTGTGCTCGAGCTGGTCCTTTCCTGTGGACAGCACAGGCTCCACAGCACAGGCACTAGGTCATATCCCTGCAGAGGGCAAGAAGCTGTTCTGCTCCAGCCACTGGACTCTTGCTGAGGCTGAGGAGGATGTGAGGCTCAGGGGTAGGGGTGGGGGCAAGCTCTGTGTTCCAGACAGCACAGGGGACTTCAAATGTGCAGAGCCCCTGGCGTCGTCAGGGAGAGGGCAAGAGGAGAATGACGGAGGCTGACCTTGGCCATGGTGAGCCAGTGGTGTTGTCACCGAATAGGGCAGGGGGATACAGTGGAGGGCCAGGAGAGGAAGAATGTGATTTAGGAAGCTCCCTGTGCTTTGGGAGTGTGGCCTGAAGGCAGAGGGGTCCCCAGGATCTTCCAAAGGTGACAGCTGCAGTGTGGATGGGCAGCCCACTGTGTGTGGATAGATGAATCCAGGTAGGTTGCGTGTGGATGCAGTGAGGAGAGAAACAGCGGGGAATCTCACAGGATGCTCCTGTACAGACCCTGCTACAGGTCCAGCCCCCTTCCCTGGGTGTCAGGAGTGATGGATCTGATAAGATGCTGATTGCTTAATGTGGGTCTTCCAGGGCCCCCAAGTCCTAGTAATTCCATCTGCCACAGACAGCCATTGTCAAGAAAATGGGAGCCTCAGCTAGAGCCCCATGGGGTGACGGGCATACAGGGGTCAGGAAAGCCCCAGAACCCAGAGCACACAGAGACCAGGGAGACAGGAAGAAGAGATGGATACCCAGGGATGAGAGGTACACAGAAAGACAAGAGGGAAGCCCACAGAGAAGAGTGTGGTCCATTGTGGGACCAGCTGCTGAGAGGCCAGGAGAGACAGGATGGCAGTGTGGCCACAGGCAGGCCCCCACTGCAGCCATGCAGTGTCAGGCCTGGTGAGTTCCTTGCCTTGGAGGAGCCCAGTGCTGGTCCAGGAACCAGGAGAGTCAAAGATTTTCCTGCCAGCTCTAGGGACAAGAGTCCTAACAGGCCGAGCCTAGGACAGTGGGATTTGGACTGGCTGCCAGCCAGTGAGACCAGCCAGATAACTCCTGAGGAACCAGGCATGGAAGCTGGGCTCTGTATGGGGGCAGTTAGAAGAAGAAATGATGCCCCAAATCTGGGAACCTGTCCCCTGCCTCCACAAGCTGCTGTTGTGTGCCCGGCAACAGACAGGGCAATGCCTACGCATGGACAAGGAGGCCAACAGCCACACTGATGACAAGAGGGGCACGTGTGGTTGTGTTCAATCTGGTTTTCACCAGTTATTTCAGTGAAGATGTGTGTACAGAAAGAGGTTAAGCAGGATCACACACAGGCCATGGCCTCCCTACATGTGACTGGAGTTCTGAGGTGGAAGGTGCTGGGAAAGCAGATGTTAAAGTCCCTGAAGATGCAGCGAACTCCTGGGTCTAGGAAGAAGAGTTACAGGACCGTGTTTCTAGGCAGTATGGCAAAGGACTGTGGGAGCAAAGACACTGCTGGAGACTGAGCCACCCGAGCCAACCTGGGCTAATGAGGAGCCTAGTGGCTCTGAAGAGCAGCGATGGGAGAGGATGGCTGGGCGGAAGGACAGGAAGCCATGCTGAGGCTCAAGGCTGACTCCGGGGCACTGACACACCCTCTTACCTGCTAGGCATCATCGACAGCACACACACTGAGCAGCGGCAGGTGGTGGCCGTGACAGGGGATGGGACCAACGACGGGCCTGCTCTCAAGAAGGCAGATGTGGGCTTCGCAATGGTAAGAGGAGCTCAAAGAGGGCGTCAGGTGGTGTCTGGCCGGGTCTCAGAGGCAGGGTTGGCAGGGCTTGCGCTTCCCAGCTGCAAAGTGGCTCGCAGGAGTTCCCATGTACACTTAACACTCATACCTCCCCATCTACCCTGATTGCAACCAGTCCCAGTCTAACCACAGAGGTCTTTCTGGAGGGGGCAGGCACTGCCCTGCTGGGGTCATCTCTGTCCTGCTTACAGGTCAAGGAGGAATGAGGAAAGGGCAGGCTTCCCAGGGAAGAAAGTTGGCCTCAGAGGGGTGGCTGTGTGCACATACAGACGTGTGTGTGTGTGTGTGTGTGTGTGTGTGTGTGTGTGTGTGTGTGTG